CACGTGCAAGGCACCGCCGCATGATACGTATGCTATCATATGTGTGCTGGTAGTCCGCCACCGCCTTCCATCCATATCGATATGATGAAGCACATGGATAAGGAGCATGCTTCTGGCCCAGCAGGATTTGACATATTATACGCAATCGAAGTAGACGCTGCTGTTGAAATGCTTCGTGCACGGGCCGTCGGGGAGGAGCATTCCGCCTCATCGCAGTCGAGGTTCTATCTGAAATCCACGGCTTTGTGGGAGTATCTCGTTTGCAACCGAATGCTTCAGATGTTGCCCGTCTGAGATTAACATTTTAGTGACGCATTTTTCCGTTGGGTCACTGCCCGTCATCTGATATTTCCACACTTTATCTCTGAAAGTTTGCTGACACGTCGGGTTGCCCAACTGGCAACGATCGAAGCGTGCAGGACAAGCATGAGAAGCCATTTTCAACAGTTGTCTCTATACCTTGACTAGGCATAGCATGCACGACACACCCTGCAATAACGACTCGATGGTCCACTGTCTGATCAAAGGTGGTATCAAACTCATCAGAATTCCAAGCTCTCGTCCCATGATGAAGCTCACTCTTCAAAGTACACATGTCGTCCAAGCGCGACGGTTGGCCACGGGGTGGTCGCCACGTCCACTCCCCAGCACGAACGGTATTGACAGCTGCCATGCTCTTTGCCTCCAGCGCTGTCCGCATGAGGGCGCCGTTGGCGTTCCCGCGGGTGGAGCACTCTCTCCCAAAAGCAGTTGACCGTATTGAGCCCACTCTAGCGCTTGCATCCACGGTAAAGACCAGGAACGAAGATGGATACTGATTCCTCCACTCGGTGATCGTCCAACAGCGTTGTCGTTGCTCTGGTAAGTCATGTGAATGAGGAGCGTGCGCAGCTACAGCAAGAAGAGGAACTCGGTCCCTGCCCTCATCTGCCGCAGTCGTACCTGCTGCGATCACGATCCTGGAATGCGGTGCAGCCCACGCCTCCATCCGAAACTCCAGGTCGTAGCTCACCCACAACTGAGTCCCGTAGCAGCCTTTGGAGCTGGCCGCTGCGCAGTGCATCGCATAAGACGTACAATGACGAACCTGTTCTGCCCGACTTCGACCCTCTCGAATGCCTATCAAATGAATTCCTGGATGGTAAAGCTGAGCTTCAAGCAGCGTCACCTCATAGCACACAGCACCGTGGTGAAAGAAACGATGTCCAACTCGCCGGTACTGGTTGGCCCGACTCCTGAAACAACTGGGGCCGCATCTGGTACTTCTTGGCCACCACTTGTAGCCGGCGCCTGCTTGCCCCGCACACGTCGCCTCGCCACTGCCTGATCGTCGGGCTCCATCGTCTCGTCGCCGCTGGCCACGGGGGTGATTGTTGCATTCGCTTGCGTCGTAATCTGCTGGAGTCCAGCCAGCAGGCGCATGATCTCCGTCTCCGCCTCCTTCAGCGTCGTGTGGGGGACGACTGGAGACGACTTCATATCCGCGATGACCCTCGCCAAGCTCTGAGTCGAGGCCTCCAGCGAACTCGGGGTGCTCACCTCCAACGCCTTTGCCTCGAGAGCTCGAGAGCTTTTAGCTCCTGCTTCCTCTGGTCGACCTCCTCGCGCGCATGGCGCACCTGGTCCTGCGCTTTGGCCAGCGCGCGCTTGCTGTCCTTGAGGCGCTTATTGGCGCGCTCCACGGCGGGCCTGCACGAGACCAGCTGGCTGCTCAGCGGCTTGGAGAGAGTGACGCTCCCCTTGGCTTCCCGGATCTGCCGTTGGAGAAGCTCCCGAGTGGGTTGGAATTCCTCATCAGGCGGAAGGACCGCCAACGTGGTCTCGAGGCTCTTGATCTTCGCTGGCCGTTCGGCGCGTACGTGGTGGTCTGTCTGCCGAGGTGCGCTTAGCTCGGCCTTGTCTGATCGGACCACCTGCGCACAACTTTTCTTCAAGCCACAGCTCTTGCACTACTTCGTTGCCACTTGGTTCCACGCGGGGCAGCCCTCCGTACGACACTGCCAACACCGTACCTCCTGCCACCACTGCTCCTGAGGGGCTGCTGCCACCACGCCATCTGAAGAGTAATGTGTGGAGAACAGACAGCAGAGGAGTGTGGTGCGTAGGCTTACGTTCTGACTAAGAGGCACCCTGACCATCTTGAGCCAAACGGATACGGGCCTTCTTCCTCCTCCTTCTCCTCCTCTTTGCTTTACACATCGATCCTCCATGTCGCGCCCCCAGGCGTGTCGGTTGGGCGGGCCAGGCATTTCGCCAGATATTTCCCCACAGTGTATGATGCTGAAGCTTGAAGTGTGCAACAGCTTCAAGTATGGAAGGTGGGCCGTTTTCAGGGTGGAGCTCTCGCCCCAGAACCGCGCGCATTCGTCATACAAGCTTGCAACAGCTTCAAGGATTGGGGGCAGGACTTTTTCAACATGGATCTCTCGCCTTGGCACCGCGCGCATGCGTCTTAAAAACTTGCAGCAACTTCAGGGATGGAGGGCTGAGGCTCGCGTTTCAGCGCCCCACACGTTCGTCTTAAATGGAGGGGAGGCGGGCCGTTGTCCCACCGAAGCGCCGTACACACTCGTCCCAAACATCTGCAACACTCACAGGGATGAGGGGCTGTTAATTGTCAATCGTGGGCCGCTTGTTTATGACTTGTTCACATTTGCAGGGCGCAAGCTTGAACATAGGCAACAGCTGCGCGGAGGAAGAGTGGCTCCTTTCTAACATTGGCCACTCGCTTGAAACTTCTTGGCTTCTCAACGCCGCGGGTAAAGGGTGGCTCCTTAACATAGGCCGTTCGCTTGAAACTTCTTGGGTGCTCAATGCCAGAAGCTCGAATCTGTTCTAAAGCTGCACGGGTGGAAGGCGGTCCTGTTAAACATGTGGCTCTCGCATACAGTTCTCTCGGTGTTCATGGTCACGAGCAACGTCAACCCGCGTAGTAAGGATGGGCAACCTCTCCAAGGGTGCCCTTGCATCCTTGCCCCTTCGGCCCATGCTTAGCGACTTTCGCTGGCCAACCTCGTTCGACAAACATTCACACTGCGCATCCTTACGATACGGGTTGGCTGTATGAAATGTGTGCAAGAGTCTTGGCAAGAGCTTCACAGATGGGGGGCGGTCGATTCTCCAAACGGGAAGCTCGATGGGCACCGTGCCGAACTGTATGATCATGTCAGATGCGCGCATCTTGCTGCTCGCTGGGAGGGCGGAAGGCTGCAGGGCAGCTCGCTGGGCAGCGCTCTGTCAAGACCGGGGTGCTCTCGCCCGAACGGCAGGCCCATCGGGTGCTGCAGCGACGGATGGAACAGACTGTGCCGTCCGATGTCTGGGCTGCCCCGCGGCGCACCGCGGCGGCCCGCCGGCTGCGGGCGCGCGGAGGCCCGCGCCGCCCATGAGGCCCCTGGGCGAACGGCCTCGGCGCCCTTCTCGCCGCGGGGGGCGGCCGCTGCCCGCGCGGCTGGCTGCGCCCCTGGCCTGCCCCAGCAGCGGCAGAGGGCCGAGCTGCGCCGCGGTGGGGGGGGGGGGGCGGCTCGTCCCTCGCCCCGCGGCGCCGCTCTGGCTGCTGTCGGCCTCTGGGGCTCGCAGTGGCCCCCGGGGTCGTCAACGCCCAGGGGGTCGGCTCGGGATGGCAATCCGGTCCTGGGGACAGGTTTTGGCACTGCCCCCTCCCCGCCCAGCGGCTCGAGGTTCCCTGCGCCGCGCGGCGCGCGGCCCTCCCCGAGGTCTGGGTCGGGGGTATAGTTCTCCCGCGGGCGCGTGGAGGCCTCAGAGGTATATGGAAGCCGCCAGAGCGCCGCGGCCACAGCTCTTGTGATGTCCAGTAGGTCGAGCTAGTCGGAGACCCCGTATGAAACACATCAGGGCATCGGCTATCTGAGGCGCGGCCCTCGCCCCGCGGCCGCGGCAGGGCCCGCCCGCGGGTGCGGCGGGCTTGCTGCGGCAGGGGCCCACGGCCCAGCCCAGGGATCTCCAGGCAGCGGCCGCGGTGCCGGGGCGCGGGCGATGGCGGGGCGGCGCTCCTGGGCGCGCGCGCGCGCGTGCGGGCTGCTCGGGAGCCTCTGGATGGCGTGTCGCTTCGCTGGTTTTGGCCCGCCGCGTCTCGGCGCGACGCGCTATCCATGATGGGTATGTTTTCCACCACCACCACCATAAGTTGGACGGGGAGGGGGTCCTCCTCCTCCTCCTCCTCCTCCACCTCCTGCTCCTCCTCGTCGTCCTCCTCGTCCTCCTCCTCCTTCCCCCCTCCAACTTATCTTATGGAGGTGGTGGTGGTGGTGGAAAACAGGCCCATCAATCCACTCCCTGGTCCCCAAGCGTCGACGTCTCGAACGGTCCCCGCCTCCCGCCACGCGGCGCGGAGCGACACGCTACCCGCTTGCAGATCGCAGCGTGTCGCCAGGGCCGCCGCCGCGACACGCCAAGCCAAAGCTTCCGACCGTAGGTCGTGCGCGGCGAGCTGGGCATTGCGCGGGAGGTGCTCGGCCCTGTGCGCCCCCCGCTGGCGAAGTGCTTTTCGGCTCCTCCCTTGGGCGAGGAGCTCCGCGGCTCCCGCCGCAGCCTCGCAGCTCAGCCCGGTGGTCCCATCGGCGAGGAGGGCGCGACCACGAGCGCGGCCTCAGCGAGGCCCTCTTGGCACGTGCCGCTTGCGCGGAGCGGGCATGGTGCCAGCGTTTGGCGAGCTCGCGGCGAAGCTTGGGCGGTGCGCCGCGGTGCTGACGACGGAGGGATCGGGCAGACGGAACTGGGCCCCGGGATGGCGGCGTAGGTATCCGTGTTCGGGACGCTGGCAGTGGCCGCAAATTTGTAAAGCACTAAAGCATCCTGCTGCTGCTTAGCCTTCTCGCCCTCGTCCTCGACCACTCCGTCGTCGATCTTCCCACCCTCCCTCTCATGCTCCCTGCCCCCCTCCTACCTCCCCCTTGCTCCCTCAATCCTGCTCCTCTTGCCTTCTCCCTGTCCGCTCACTCTTCCATTCTCCTTGTTGCACCCCTTCCTCACGCAGAGGCTTACCGTTGGGACGGGTATGTGCCGTGCTGGGGATCCCGGCTGTGGCGATCTCTGGGTCGTGACCATTTGGTTGCAGATTCAGTTTCGTTTTTTTCTTGGTGGCAGCGGGAGCCTGGGTACTAGGCCTTTTGACCGGCTCCCGTGGACCGCCAGGTGTATTCCACTTCCTCCCCTTTCCCGCCTCCTGTTCTCATAGTGGCTCTTTCTTTGGAGACGAAAAGGGGCGCGCGCCGAAATCCATTCCAGACGAAATTGAGGTTTTTCTTAAAGTTTCAGTGTGCAGGCGCGCCCTGCCGCGCGGTGGTTCCCAGACGCACCTTAGAGCGTGCTGGCGTATAATGCGAGGCATTCACATTGCACGTTGCGCATGCTATCGCGTGCGAATCACGCATGGCTTGAGCTACTTCGCAGACGCTTTCTGGCGAGGCCCTTCGAGGGCCCTCTCAGGGCCCGCCGGGGTCGCCGAATGCCGCGAGCTTCCAGCAGCCATTGTCGACAGTTGGCAAAAGCAACGTCGCCGAAATTGTCGCCGAAAGAGCCGTCGAAAGGGCCGCCGAGATTGCCGCCGAAGGAGCCGCCGAAAGAGCCGTCGGAAGGGCCGCCAGAATTGCCGCCGAAATTGCCGCCGAAATTGCCGCCGAAATCGCCGCCGAAATTGCCGCCGAAATTGCCGCCGAAATTGCCGCCGAAATTGCCGCCGAAATTCTAAATGGTTCCTCCGAGAAAACACCGAATTTGACCATGGCTGTGACTCTATGCCTGTGTCTGCGGCGTCATCGCGCTTACTGGAACAGCGATTTCGCTTGCGACTGGGCAATGAAAACTTCGGCGGCTGAATTTCGGCGGCGATTTCGGCGGCTGAATTCCGGCGGCTATTTTGGCGGAGTTCGCAATTATTTCGGCGGCAATTTCGGCGGCAATTTCGGCGGCAAGTTCGGCGGCAAGTTCGGTGGCAATTTCGGCGGCAATTTCGGCGGCGATTTCGGCGGCAATTTCGGCGGCAATTTCGGCGGCGATTTCGGCGACGATTTCGGCGGCCCTTTCGGCGGCCCTCCTGGCGGCCCTTTCAAGGACCATTTCGGCGGTTTTGCTTTTGACAGCTGTCGACGAATGCTGCTGGGAGCTCTCGGCGTTCAGCTTCGGTAAAGAGTCGATGTGCGGCGACGCAGACTGACCTGACCTCAGCCCGACGATGATTGTAACATGTGTTATCTTGTGGTTTTGGCGGTGATGATGGCGACGGCCGCGGTAATGTTTGGTTCAACATGGATGCTCGTCAGGGGGCATTACAGGCTGGCCTACGCGCCCAGCACTGCATGCTTTCAAACAAGAAAAAATTGTCGCGCAACTCCTTCGGAATTCGGCGGCTATTTGGGGGGCCGTGGTGGCTCCAAAGGGTTGTCCTCGGTGACTGTTCTTTCGCCACCTCCTCTGTTCCTTCACTTCTTCAGAGTTCTCTCCTTCGCAATCTTCTCCTCAACATTTCTCGCGGGCTCGGCAAGACTTCGCGGCAAGTTTTCAGAAATATTCTCTCTCGTGCCTATCCCTCCTAGTGCTGCTCAGCATTGCAGGTGCACCCGCGTCGGTACGCGTTCTTGTCGCTATCGCTGTCTCTGTGTATCTCTGTCTCTCTGTCTAACTCCCTCCGCCTCTTTCTCTGTTATGATTTCTATATCTCTCTCTTTCTCTCCCTCTCTCTCTCTCTCTCTTTTGTTTTTTTTTGTTTCTCTCTCTTTCTCTCTCTCTCTCTCTCTCTCTCTCTCTCTCTCTTTATGTATACACATATGCACAGATTGTGAACGTCTTGCGGCCGGTGCAGCCGACCCTGAGGGCGGGACCTCCCCCGGAGCCCCGCTGGCGCCCCCCTCCGGGACCTGCCTGTACCCCGGAGTGTGTGTGGCATTCAGGGGCCACCCTCCCCCACCACACGCGGGACCCCCCACGGGAACCCCGCTGGCGACCTCCCCCCGCGGGGTGGTCGCTTTGGTCCTCTGTAGGGGTTTTGAGCCCTCTCTGTTCACAGGAGGATCACAGGATCACCTCCTAGTCCCCCATTGTGAGTGAGCACCGGGAGTTGGGGGGAGAGGGCGGGGAGGGGGAAGGGCATGGATTTCCCCCTTGCCAAGAGGGGGGGGGCCCTTCCCCGTTTCCCCCTGTCCACAAGTGGGCGGCTGGGGAGGAAACGGAGAGGGGGGCATTGAGTTCCCCTCGTCGACAGGGGACCACCGTCCACGGGGGACTGGGGGACCTGTTGGACCCCCTCCCCCCCAAGGACCCTGGGGGCCGGGGCCCTGTCCCGCCTGCCCACAGGGGGTCCGAAGAGGGGAGGGGAGGGGGGCATTGAGTTCCTCCTGCCGACAGGCGGGACCACCCATTGGGAGAGGGGGGGGGCGGCAGTTTGACCCAGGACCCCCCCTCCCAGGCCCCCCACCCAACGGGGGAATCCCCCCTCCTTGTCCCCCGTGTTCCCCCCCTTCCATCTGTGTCCGCAGGGGGGACAGGGCAGGGGAGGGGGGTGGGCATTGAGTTCCCCCAGGCGACAGGGGGGCCACCCCTTGTCCCCCGCTGTCCACAGGGAGGACCGGGGAAGGGGGGTTGGGCGGTAATCTGATCCAGGACCCTCCCCCAGAGCCCTACCCCACCCAGGGGCGCTCCCTGCTAGGCTGTATCCCTCCTGTCCACAGGGGGGACCGGGGAGGGGAGGGGCGGCCGCCTGGACCCCGGGGGGCGGTAATCTGGCTTGGGGCCCCCTCCGTACCCACTCCACCCCGCCCCCCCCCCGTCAGGGAGGGGGAAAAAGGGGAGGGGATCGGCTCAACTCTGAGGTTTTTTTTCTGTTCGAACCTCTATTTCCTTGTGCGGGCGGCGACGACGACGAAGCAGACGACGACAGCGTCCCTCACACGCCGAAGGGTCGGTGGATTTTAGTTGTTGTGGTTGTTCTCTTTCTTCTTGTCTTTCTGTCATGTATATCTCAGCCTCGCACATCCTCGTAGCTCTGCTCTCTTTGCCGCCTCCGCGCTGCTCGTCCTATGGCTGCTGTGCCTCTGTGCTTGATGGCCACCTACATATAAGCATGTTTGTCCAGCGTGGCCCCATACAGTAGGTTCTTGCACTCTGACTATGGATATAACAGATGCGTTGTGCATTCTATATGTGGTGCGAGCTGTGTAGTACAATCCTTGTTGTGCAAGCAGTGTGGTGTACGATCTGCGGTGCAAGCTATGTGGCGCACGCTACGTGGCGTAAGCAATATTGCAAAATCACGCCATGTGGCGTAAGCTATCGGAGGTTGGGGGGTGACATCGAAGGTTGAGCGAAGAGCCCCCTACCGGGAAATCGGTTTCGGTTTCGTGTTCGTGCGTGCCGTGCGTGCGGGCGAGGCGAAGCTGCGTGGGCTGGCGAGAGGAAAGTCTCCTGTGGCTGAGGCGCGGCCGGACCAAATGATTCTCCCTCTGGCAAGCGATGGCCCGCGGTGTCCCGCCGGTGTCCCGCTTGTGGCTGGGCCCCGGCCGGACCAAATGATTCTCCCTCCGGCAAGCGGTGGCCCGCGGTATCCCGCCGGTGTCCCGCCGGTGTCCCGCCGGTGTCCTTGTGCCCCGCTGGTGCGAAATCGATAGTGAGACCGATGACGAAATCGATTGTGAGATCGATAGTGAGATCGATAGTGCGACCGATAGTGCGACCGATAGTGAGATCGATCGTGAGATCGATAGTGAGATCGATAGTGAGATGAATAGTGTTATCGATTGTGAGATCGAGTGATCTCGATAGGGAGATCGTTAGTGGGATCGATAGCGAGATCCAGAGTGAGATCGACAGTGCAATCGATCGAGCGAGATCGGTAGTGATATCGATCGAGTGAGATCGATAGTGGGATCGATGGTCCCATCGGTCCTGAGACCGATAACGACATCGCTTGTGAGATCGATAGAGAGATCGATAGTGAAATCGATTGAGTGGGATCGATCGTGAGATCGATAGTGTGATCGATCGAGTGCGCCATCCCCGAAAGGCTCCCAAGAGGCACCCAAGAGGCCCCCAAGTGTCGATATCACCCTTGATCTATCGAATTTGTGTAGCGTTTATTCTTATCAGTGTGTATGCAAATTAGCACAGATGTGAAGTATTGCTTGCAGCGTTGCAATACGATTGCCATGTACCATCGCCGTTTGATGTTCAGGGGCCCCTGAGTCATGTAAAAGGTTGCGTTACGTTTCATACGGCCGATAATCAAGATTATCAATTCTTTTCGAACAGTCCCGAGTAGACTTCGTGTGCTACCATCGGTTGATATTGGTAGCGGAGCCGGAGATCCACACTCCGGCTCCCCACCGCCGCCGCCATGCTAGCGGACCCGCGCCCGCGGGGTCCGCCGAGGCCGCAGGCCACTCCGGCGTCACCGCCGCCCGCGAGGGCGCCCGACGCCGCGGCCGCAGCGGCCGCCGCTGCAGGAGGTGCCGCCGGCAGCGCACCGACAGCGGAGACGTCCAGAGTCCCGCCCTCTCCCGACAGCACCGTGGAGGGCCACTACGCCGAGGGCGGGGACTGGAACGACTGGTGGCAGAGGGCGAGTTCCGCCTGGGACGGTGGGGGCAGAGGCCTTGACGCAGGCCTGTCAAAGACGGCGCCGACATACGAGCTGCTCAAGACCGACGGCTACAGAGTCTTTCGCCGAAAGCTGGAGGTCTTCGAGCGCTGCTGCAGGAAGCGCGGCACCACCGCGGTCAGCGAGGGCGCGTTCTTGATTATGAACTCGCTGCAGGGTGAAGCCGCGGAGGCTACGGAAGACATCGACCTGGATCAGCTGGAGACCGAGGGCGCCTTCAAGCCGCTGTTCCAGGTCCTCGACGAGTACTACAAGTATGATAACCAGACCGAGCTGCCAGCCCGCACAGATCAGTTTTTCGGCAAGTTCGCTCGCCAGGATAAGGAGACGATGAAGCTCTACTGCTTGCGCCACAAGCGAGAGCTGAGGAAGCTCAAGGAGGTCGGCATGGAGATTCCCGACATGCTGGCGGGCTGGCACCTCCTCTCACGAGCGGCCGTCCCACCTTCGGGCGCCGCCCAGGTACGAAGTCAATGTGCCAATGGTCTCAGTTGGACTAGTGTGAAGAAGGCCCTACTCGATACATATGGAGCCGAAGCCGTACCCGACAAGCGCGACGTGAAGCGAGTTGAGAGGATGCTGGTCGGGCAGGGTCATAAGGACGACGTGCACTACACGAACGACTACGAGTGGGAGCGAGGCCTGAGCTACGAAGACTCATAGCTGGAGGAGGAAGAATACGATTACGACGAGTACGAGGAGTACGACGCTGAAGAGTACGAGGAAGAGGCCGACGTCGCCGAGGAGCTGCCGCAGGACGTGGAAGAAGCCCAGATCGCGTGCGACGAGGCCTACCTCAGTTTCGTGGATGCGAAGAGGCGCGTGGCGGAGATCGCCAAGTCGAGAGGTTTCTACCCGATCGTCGCTGTCGCGCCCGACAGCAACTTTCAGCACGGCAAGGGCGCGTCGCGCTCTGCCAAGCCGACGGGTGGCAAGGGCAAGGGCCGCAGCAAAGGCAAAGGCGAAGGCAAGGGCACCGGCTCGCGCCAGGTGTTCAGGCCGAAGGTGAACATCTTCAACAAGCCCCCGTCGGCGACGCCGGCAGGATCGACCGCTACTGGCTCGACGCAGCAGCACGGCCCGAGGTTCAAGCGATTCCGTGGAGGAGGTTTCGTGAAGCCCGACTCGGAGCACGCCGCCATGGTAGAAGACGTGGAGACGCTAGAGTACGCTAACTCGACCGAGGAGGTGTACCTGATGTCGACTGGCATGGGCATCAGCGACGGCGGCGCGACGCGACCCGTCATGGGCGACAAGATCTGGGCGCAGTGGGAGGAGCTGCTGCGTTCACGCCAGCTGCTGCACGAGGTCGAGTACGGCAAGAGCGACCGACGATTTCGATTCGGAGACGGCAAGACGCTGGAGGCCAAGCGGTCCGTGACCTTGAACGTGTGGCCGTTCGGCGTCAAGAAGCAGATCACGGTCCATCTCGTCGAGGGGTGGGCGCCGCTGCTCATCGCCCGTCCGCGCATGGAGGAGTGGGGTTTGGTCCAGGACTATCGCGCCGGCACGTTTATGATGAAGGACCTCCCCGACAATGCTGGATGAAGTCCGAGCGAGACGAGAAGGGCACTTCATCATCGACCTGCTGGGCGGCGCCGGCAGGGCCACCGACGACGCGATGAACGAGGGCGCGCCGACCGAGGGCGAGCCCAGCAGCGACGACTCGACCGACAACGAGTCCGAGGCACCGCCGAGCGAGTCCGAGGACGATTCTGAATCGTCCGACGTGGGCCCCGACGCGTACTACCTCGAGACGGCCACCGAGTTTTATGACATCAGTGACAATGACGACGTGGGAAGTGAGTGGGCCCAGGAGTTTTCGGTTGCGAGTTCGAGCGAGAGCGCTAGACCGAGCGCGATGGACCCCGACACCTACACCGACCTGGCCCTGGCCCTCGAGCAGGCACACGACGGCATGAAGGAGATGCTCCGAGGACCCCCGTCGCGTAGGTCTGGGAGGTATTCGTGGGCGCAGGAGGTCTGTCGCAGGCGCTGCTCGAGTACCCCGCGGTGGACGTCACGCAGTTCCGCCTCGAGGACGGCTGGGACTTCTCCAAGCCGAAGGTGATTAAGGCGTTCCTGAGGAAGATCGACGTCGAGAGACCCGACGACATTTTCTTCGCACCCCCGTGCAAGGCATGGTACTCGTGGCAGTACGTGAACGCCTCGCTCTCAGCAGAGCACGCCGCGGAGATCCACGAGGCGAGGGTGCGCGAGGAGAAGACGTTTCTGAAGTTGGACCGTGACTCGTTCGTGAAGCAGCTGAATGGAGGCCGACACGCCTATGTGGAAGGCCCATGGTCAGGAGCGCACTGGAGCGCCAAGACGTGGAAGGCACTGCCGGGCCGCCACTGCCGGCTGGACCAGTGCCGCCTGGGAGCCAAGTTCCCCATAAAGGGAGTGGACATGCCGTACCAGAAGCCGACGCGATTGCAGTCCACCAACAAGGAGTTCGTCGATCACATGGGTCTGAGTTGCGAGTGCAGGGGCGAGCACGTGACACTACGCGGCAAGCTCGCCCAGCAGGCTCAGAACTACCCCGCACCGATGGCTCGACTGATGGCTTACCTGATTGCCTACCAGGGCATGGCCGCCGACATCGACGAGATTTACACAGCCGAGGAAGTGCACAAGGACATCGGCGCCATCGAGTACACAGACGTAATGCAGGAGCTGATGAAGCGCTTCAACGTCTCGACCATCCGCGCGGTCAAGCGCGCACGTCAGCCTGGGGCGCCCCTCGAACGCGGCGCTGGCCAACGCCATGCGACGCGCAGGTGCCCCAGCAGAGTGGATCCAGCGCGCCAGGCTCTATCAGTGCGAGATCTGCCTCAAGAGACAGCGACCGCGCACCGTGCGCGTGGCCGTGCTCCCGAAGGCCAAGCGCTTCAACGAGGTGGTCAGCACTGACGTGTACTACGTTACCTGGAAGACGAAGGAGCGGAAGATCCTAGCGATGATGGGCGAGTTCACGCGCTACGAGGTCGACTACCCCATCGCAAAGGAGACTTTCAAGAAGGAGAAGAAGCTCTTCGAGAAGCTCTGGATCAGCTGGGCCGGCAAGCCCGAGACGATGCGCATGGACATGGGCGGTTCGCACACGTCCAAGAAGATGCACTCCTGGATGAGCAAGCACGACATCAAGCTGGACCTGATACCGAAGGGCGCGCACCACAAGCTGGGCTGGATGGAGCGGAACCACGCGGTTCGGAGGGAGCAGCTGAGCAAGTGCCACATGCAGTTCCCCGACGACTCGCTCAAGACAGCCCTTAGGATGACGGCCAGCCAGCGCAACCTACTGCGGAACGTGCGCGGGTTCTCACCCGCCATGCTGGTGCTGGGGACTCAGCCCCGCGTGCCGGGCGCCCTCTCCGACGAGGACTTCGGCCTGGCCGAGCAGTCCGCGCTGGTCGACCCGAGGAGCGAGGTGCACGAGATGATGCTGCGGCGTGTCGCTGCCGGCACGGCCTTCATCGAGGCCGACTGCTCGCGCGCCGTGCGCGCAGCCCTGCTGGCCCGCAGCAGGCCGACCCGCCGAGGATACGAGGTTGGCGAGTGGGTCTACATTTGGAGACCTGAGCCTTCGCGTGGCCTGGAGAAGTGCCACTGGTTCGGCCCCGCGCTGGTGGTGGCCGTGGAGGCGAAGCCCAACGAGGACGACGTGATGCACACCTCAGTGGTCTGGGCCACACACGGGCGCGTGATCTACAGGTGCACGGTCGAGCAGCTACGACCCGAGCTGCCGGGCGAGGCCCGCGAGCGCGAGGGCCGCAGGGGCGACCCCGACAGCCCGCTCAGCTTGATCGAGAAGCTGCGCCGCGCGTTGAAGCGGACGAAGGGCACCTGCAACTACAGGGACCTGGCGGAGGAGGGGCAGACGCCCCAGTACGACGACAACCTGGACGACATGGGGGATCAGCCGCAGGCGCGGGGGCCCGACGTCCAGGAGACAGACGCGGAGGAGCCCGGCGAGGCGTCGGGGGCAGCTGCAGCGGCAGCTCCCGAAGAGGCTCAGCCTGGCGATCCTGGCGGCGTGGAAGCAGTTGATCGAGACTCACCACGTTCCCCAGCGGCTGATGCTGGCGCCGCCGCGAGCGGAAGTGCATCGAGCCATGCAGCGCCAGAGCCCAGCCGGCTCCACATCGAGACGATGGCCAAGAGGAGCGTAGAGGAGGCCGAGAAGCTGGACGGCGTGCCGCTATCGAAGCGAGCCCGCTTGACGTGGGCCAAGCTGAACCCTCCTGACGAGCACGCCACGCTGCTCGAATAAGTAGACGACGAGATGCTATTGTTGGAAGAATCCACTGAGACGGTCTACATGCTGGCCTTCAAGCGGAAAGCCCCCACCATCGTGGAGGGAAAGCTGACGCCCGAGGAGAAGGAACAGTTCTACGCAGCGAAGCTGGAGGCCCTCGAGGTGTTCAATCAGAAGGACGGCTGGGAGCCCACTAACGAGGAAGACGTGGACCCAGCAGCCTGCTGTCCGCTGCGGTTCTTGCTGAAGTGGAAGATGAAAGACGGACAGAAGGTGGCTAACGCGCGCGTGCTGTACCAGGGGTTCAAGCATCGCGACGTCGCCGAGGGCCAGCTCGACAAGGAGGCGCCGACCTTGAGCAGACTGGGCCGGCACACGGTCATGCTCTGGGCGCCCCTACGGAAGTGGAGGTTGTTCACGGCGGATGTGAAGTCCGCGTGCCTGCAGGCGGAGGACGTGAGCGTACGCGGACTCAAGCTGCACGCGAGCCCGATGAAGGAGATGAGGGAGATGCTCTCTCAGCAGATCGGCCTGCAACCTGGACAGCTGCTGAAGATGATCACGCCATGTTTCGGAGACCCGAGGTCGCCGAAGCTCTGGCGCTACCGTTCCGACGAAGTCACGAAGGAGATCGGGTTCAGGAACCACTGGCTCGAGGACTGCCTCTTGCTGTCCCTGCGCCTGGCGAAGGTCGAGGACGACCCGTTCGACGTGTGCAGCTTCGAGGACCAGACCTACGTGGTGGACGGCCTGATCGGCAAGCACGTGGACGACTTCATCGGATGCGGCGAGGGAGTCAACTGCGAGGACGACTTGCACGCCATGCTGGACAACTCGGAGTGCTTCCAGGCGAGATTGGGCGCGCTCAACCAGAAGTTCACGTTCGGCAAGTGGGACTTCGGGCCGAGCCTGATCTTCACCGGCGGCGAGGTAGAGCAGTCTCTCAGCACCTACGCGGTGACCCTGAAGTTCGAGAGGTACCTGCACGCGGTGAAGCCCATCACCATCGAGAAGCACCGTCGGGCAGACCCGACAAGCGCGCTGACGCCGAGGGAGCTCACCAGTTTCAGGACCCTGAACGGTCAGCTGCAGTGGCCCGCGGCTCAAGGAGTGATGATAGCCGCAGCGACTGTTTCTTTCAGGGCAGCGGCCACGGGAAATGCTACGGCGCAGGACCTCCTTGACGCGAACAAGGACCTGCGCTTTCTGAGGGCCAACGCGGACGTGGGACTCTACTTCGGGTTCGACAAGGCCTGGAGCGAGCTGCGCGTGGGAGGCTACTCCGACGCGAGTTGGGCAATCCGCCTGGACGGGAGCTCGCAGGGTGGCTATGCGATCTTCGTTGGACCCGACGACGACCTGCGAAACGGCAACCCGACACCGTTCGTGGGGATGGAGTGGGCCTCGAAGAAGCTCGTGCGGCTGCGCAGGAGCTCGCTGTCCGCGGAGGCGCAGGCAGCTGCGCTAGGCGTGGACTCGCTGATGTGGGTGAAGATCTACCCGACGCTGAGTTTGCGGCCAGACTTCAAGCCATACCAAGCGATGCTGTACCTCGGAGAGTCGCCGTTCATCACGGATGCGAAGTGTGTCTACGACGCCTCAAGGTCAGCCACGGCAGGCCTGGGCATCACGGAGAAGCGGACGGCCATCGAGGTGAAGATTGTGAACGAGCAGATGGAAGAGATCGGCGCATTGTGGAAGTGGGTGAACACCCAGCAGCAGATGGCGGACGGGTTGACGAAGCTCTCCGCACGCCAGCAGATGGCGGACGTGCTGCGCCGTGGAGTTCACGCTCTACGGTACGACCCGAATTTCGTGGCCGGGAAGAAGCTGACCAAGCGCGCGATGGAGCAGCGCGAGAAGGATCTGGACCAGGCTGGAGATGACCTGGCGGACGAGTTCGAGGCGAAGCCATAGGAGAAGCCCAAACAGAGGAAGCGCCATTTTGGCGCGAGTGGTGCGAGGTTGGCGGCAACCTTGGCAGCGAGCGGAGCATCGAGTGCAACCAGAGAGTTGATGGAGTACACGCCCAGCGGCGTTGAGCTGTTCAACACACCGGCGCCCGACGACTGGAGCGACCTGATCACGAAGCTGCTCATGCTCGGCATCGTGATATGCCTCATCCTGGCGTTCGGCTGTGGGTTCTGCGCAGGGGTGTGGTGGATGCACCTGATGAGCAAGACGACGAGCGCAGACTTCAAGACGCTGGAGCCAGAGACGGGACCAGTCCCGACCAGACCGACGACGGCGGAGACCACCACGACAGGGACGAGCACGAAGCCGGTCAAGCAGAAGAAGACGCGCGACATGTGCTGCCAGGCTCCGACGCGCTACAACCTGGACCTGGCACAGCCGAGGTTCCAGCCGCTGCCAGAGCACGCCCACGGGGCATTCTTCAGCTGATCGTTACGACGAGGGGGACCCGCGCCTATGGCGACATGGCGGCGATGCCGCACTTGCTGAGGTGCTTCGAGAAGCACGACTTGCGGAGCGCCTTCGGCGGCGCGGACTTGTTTGCCAGGCGAGGTCGACCGATCGCCTGGCTGCTGAAAATAACTAAGGAGATACATGTCGCTGTCGCGACCGCCGGTGGTTTCACAGTCTTGTCGGACAAGGTTTGTGTCCTGGGACCTGCGGTGTCAGGGATGTTTGTCTGTTCTAGCTTCGGTCCCGTTCCCGAACGTTTTGAAGTTCTGGTTAGTTTCGAGTTTGAGTTTTGTTTCCTGGTAAAGTTCCGGGGAGCCCTGTTCTAGGCGATGATTGGTTTGAAGCGAATCTGTGCTAACTCCTTTTTCCGCCCGTGTCGATCTCACCCTTGATCTATCGAATTTGTGTAGTGTTTATTCTTATCAGTGTGTATGCAGATTAGCACAGATGTGAAGTATTGCTTGCAGCGTTGCAATACGATTGCCATGTGCCATCGCCGTTTGATGTTCAGGGGCCCCTGAGTCATGTAAAAGGTTGCGTTGCGTTTCATACGGCCGATAATCAAGATTATCAGTTCTTTTCGAACAATCCCGAGTAGACTTCGTGTGCTACCATCGGTTGATACCAAGAGCCCCCCAAGAGGCCTCCAAGACCCCCCAAGAGGTCCAAAAGTCGCGCCCAAACGGCCCCCCAAGCCCTTGCAAAATGAACTACATAAACTATCATTTCACTGGTACCCGGGGGGGTGGGGGAGAATTATACCAAGGCCCAAGAGAGAAGGATGACGTAAACAACTCGACACCAAGGCTCCCAAGAGCGAGCGGCAACGCAACAATCACCACTGTTGCCCATTGCTGGCCCCCTCCCCCCCCAACCTCCTTATCACCCGCAGGGTGGTCGTATAGGTATAGTAAACCTACGCGGTGCAAGCTATGTGGTGGGGCTATGTGTTGCAAACTATGTTGTGTGATCTACGTGTAGCAAGCTAGGTGGCGTACGCTGTGTGGTGTAAGCTATGCTCAGTACGGAATTTGAGGTAAACTGTGTGGTGAACGCGGTTTGGTAAACTCTATGCGGTGCAAGTTATGCGGTGCAATCTGCGTGTTGCAATATATGCTGCGTAAGCTGTGTGGTGTAATCTACGTGTCGTGCGCTATGCGGTCTCAGCTATGTGGTGTAAGGTCTGTGGTAACAGTTGAGCGGTGCAAGCTGTGTGGCGTACGCTATGTGGTGCACGCTGTGCGGTGCAATGTATCTGGTGCAGGCTTGGTGGTGCAAGCGGTGTGCTGTGAACTGCAAGCCGCAGGCTATCTCGTGCAAGCGGGGTGGTGACCGCCATGTGGTATCAAAGCTGCGTGGTGCACACGGTCTGGTGCAGTCAGTGTGGCGCAGGCTCTTTGGTGCAGGCTGTGCGGCCGCCCAGCGCGCCCACGGGCGGCCGCGGGCGGGCACCGGGCGAGACGTCGGCACACCCACCCAGCGCACGAGGCGCACAGTAAGGCGGCGACGGGCGGGCACCGGGCGAAACCTCGGCGCGTCCATGCAAGCATCCATCAGCCGCGGAAGAAGCCACAGTGCATGCATTGTTTGGGGAGCATCTGTCCATAGATACAAAGAGAGAGGGAGGGAGAGAGACGTTGACAAAATGAGGAATGGAGGGAGGGAGGGAGAGTTAGTGGGAAAAAGAGAGAGAGAGAGAGAGAGAGAGAGACGAAGAAGAGAGAGAGAGCGTGAGTGAGAGTGAGAGACAGAGAGAGACAGAGAGTGAGAGACACGCTTCGAATAGAGGAGTGGGACAAGACGGCGGAGGCGGCGAACGGCCAGCACGAGGATAGTCATCATGACGGTGGGAGCCTCGTCCTCGGGGGCCGCAGCGCGGCTCGAAGAATCCCCGCCGATGAGGCCGGCACGCCCGGCGGATGATGTGCCCATGGCTCTCTCGTGGTCCCTGACCTCCGACCCTCCGAGGTCCCGACCCCTGTGACGGGCTTGTTTTCCACCACCACCACAAGCTGGAGGAGGGAGGGGGTCCTCCTCCCCCTCTTCTCCTTCCTCCTCATCCTCCACCTCCTTCCCCCTCCAACTTTCACCGAGCGCGTCTCCCCGCAGAGATGCGGGGAGACGCGCTCGGTGAAAGAGATAGCCGAGATACGGAGTTGGTGTCTGGAGACGGATACGCCGAGATGCGATAGCGTCAGCTGTCTGCGCGCACGCTTCTCTTTGTCCTGCCTCCTCTCCTTCATCCTCCCTCCCCCTCCTCCGCGTCGCAGGGGCGCACTGGACGCTGGACGACTGTGCGCTTTGTTGCCGACGCGCAGCGGCTGCTGCAGCTGCGCGTTTCGCTCCTGGTTCTGCTGGCCCCCGAGTGCAGCACTTGCCAGTGATGCCGAGCGGCTCGTTTGAGGAACGTACCTTGGAGGGCCCGGGCCAGCTGGATTCTCTTCGGTACCACGGTAGAGCTGGCGCTAGTTTCCCACTTGATTCGCAGCTGCACTGCCAAGAACGGTTGGCGTGCGATCATCTGCGGTTCAGCGCCTTGCCGCAAGCATGGGTGATTCGAACTCTTCTGTCCTCTGTTTCCTCCCGCGCTTGCCTCTTCCTCCTCCTTCCTCCTCCCTCCGGCTCTGTGTCTGCGAGCTGCATGGCTGCTCCGTTGCATGTGCATGTCTCTTTTTGTTTAGCGCGGGGTCGGGATCGTCATCCCGCTGCGCGGGCCCGCCCCGCACGCAGGCTGGCAGCTGCAGGATGGCGGCGCCCGCCTTCCGCCGAGCTTCGGCGTCGGAGTTCGCCGGACGCTGGGCCCCTCTTGACCCTGCATCTTCTGTCAGCCCTAGGCCTGCAGGTTGTGTGTATCGAGGCGGTGTGCATGAGCTTAAGCTCGTGCTCGACACCAGTAGCCTTTACCTGAACAGCAACTAGCGCAATGTGCGTCATGTTTTAACCTGCTGCATTGTACGCTGGCCGCCCATGGTTTCGGCTCCTCTGCTTCGGCATTGAGGCTCTCTGCAGGTTTTTTATGTTACGTATCTCCGCCTTCCTCGTTCGCCCTCTCCTCCTTTTCCTCCTCTCTCTTCGTCCCTCTTCCCCAGGAGCGGCGTGGAAGCTGTAGGGTAATCCACAGCGGCCGCCAGGCTTCGCTACGAGTTGACCCTTTCAATGTCGCAGGCCGTTTTTCGCGCCTCTTGCGATTGAGCCTCTGACGGGTTCGAGCCCGTGTCCGTGCGCGCTAACTTTCACCCAGCGCGTTCCACTACCTGCAAAGTCTACTTGCAAACTTCAGCAAAACATGTCTGCTTTGATGTAATTTTTCGTAAATGCCCCGCGGGGGGTCCAGGCCATTTGCGATTAGTTACTTTGCGAGTAGTGGGACGCGCTCGTCTAAACGTATGGTGGTGGTGGTGGTGGAAAACAAGCTCATCACCCTTCCCCAGGGCCCAGGGCTTGCTCTGCACCCCGAGCCGTCTTTGTGGGTGTTCCGCGGGCCCCAGACCCTGCCGTCGCGATCCCGTCCACGTGCGCGAGCAGGTCTGGCCTCCGGAGCGGTGCGGGCACCGCCTCGAGCGCCCTCGGCGAGGCGCAGAGCTGCCAGTCCGCGCCCCGAGGCTGGAGGATTTGTATGCTCGTCGGGGGATCTACGAAGCGCCCTCCGGGATTCGGCGGAACTAGGGGGCCACATGCGAACCCTACCCCTTCCCCCCACGATTTCAGAGGGGTAGGGTGGGGTTCACTTTGTTCGGGAGCTCCCGAGCGCAGTGAACCCCACCCTCCCCTTCAGAAATCGTGGGGGGGAGGGGTAGGCTTCGCATGTGGCCCCCTAGGAACGCCGCCGGAGTGCCCTCGGCGAGGGGCAGCTGCCAGAACAATCCTGGAGCTGCTGCGCCCTCCGAGGACTCGTGGAGCGCCGCCAGAGCGCCCTCGGCAGGGCCGCCCGCGCGAGCCGAGCCGACGAGGAGGGCGGGAGTCGACGTGCCCACGCCCGAGCCTGGGCAAAGGGGGGGGGGGGGGGGCCAGAGGATTGTGTGGTCCATCGTGGGGGCCTCAGGGGGTTCTCGAATTCCTTTTTCGGATTTAGGGGGAATTTCGTTGAGATTCTATAGGCGTGCGCCACATCCGCCGACCCCTTTGTTCGAAAAGCGTTGTGGTTTCTCTGGGGTCGCATGCAGTGTCGGCACCATTCTCCTGCAATGTTGCGTGCAGCGTGTGGTCGTGAGGAGGAGGAAGAGGAGAAGGAGGAGATATAGGAGGAGGAGGAGGAGGAGGAGGAGGAGGAGGAGGAGGAGGAGGAGGAGGAGGAGGAGGTGATCGCGAGGATCTCTTGGGGGGCTTCTCGCGGGACTCTTGGAGGCAGTTTCGAAGCCTCTTGGGGGCCGTTTTGGAGCCGTTTGGGGCCCTTTTGGGTGTTTTTTGGGGCTTCTTAGGGGCGTCTTGGGGGCCTCTTGGGGCCTCTTGGGGCCTTCTTGGGCCGTCTTGGGGCGGACGGCTCGGATTGTCGGTTCAAGCTCCCCCTCTTGGGCCCCTCTTGGGGCCGTCTTGGGGCCCTCTTGGGCCGTCTTGGGGGCCTCTTGGGCCGTCTTGGGGCCCTCTTGGGCCGACTTGGGCGCCTCTTGTCAGGAGCGAAAGAAGGACGTACATGTACATGAATCCACGCTGGTTTCGAGAGTTCGCATTGCGCGAATGTTCGTATCGCGCGGCAGGTCTCGCGGGTCAAGGGGCCGTGTTCATGTACATAGCTGGGCGCGTACGTCCTTTGTGTGCTCCCTAGCTTGGGGGCCTCTTGGGCCGTCTTGGGGCGGTCTTGGGGTACTCTTGGTCCGTCCTCAACGCCGTAAAGGCCGACAAATCGTATATGATGAAATGTACGTTTTCCCATCGGAATTTGATGATTTTCGGCTCTTCGGCCCTTCTGAGGACTGTTCTTGGAGGCCTCTTGGGCCGTCTTGGAGGCCTCTTGGCTCGTCTTGGGGCCATCTTGGGCGTCTTGGAGCGCTCGTTTGGGCCGTCTTGGGGCGGAAGGCTCGGATTGTCGGTTCAAGCTCCCCCTCTTGGGCCCCTCTTGGGGCCGTCTTGGGGCCCTCTTGGGCCGTCTTGGGGGCCTCTTGGGCCGTCTTGGCGCCCTCTTGGGCCGACTTGGGCGCCTCTTGGGGGCCTCTTGGGCCGTCTTGGGGCGGTCTTGGGGTGCTCTTGGCCCGTCTTCAACGCCGTAAAGGCCGACAAGTCGTATATGATGAACATGTACGTTTTCCCATAGGAATTTGATGATTTTCGGCTCTTCGGCCCTTCTCAGGACTGTTCTTGGAGGCCTCTTGGGCCGTCTTGGAGGCCTCTTGGCTCGTCTTGGGGCCATCTTGGGCGTCTTGGAGCGCTCGTTTGGGCCGTCTTGGGGCGGAAGGCTCGGATTGTCGGTTCAAGCTCCCCCTCTTGGGCCCCTCTTGGGGCCGTCTTGGGGCCCTCTTGGGCCGTCTTGGGGGCCTCTTGGGCCGTCTTGGCGCCCTCTTGGGCCGACTTGGGCGCCTCTTGGGGGCCTCTTGGGCCGTCTTGGGGCTGTCTTGGGGTGCTCTTGGCCCGTCTTCAACGCCGTAAAGGCCGACAAGTCGTATATGACGAACATGTACGTTTTCCCATAGGAATTTGATGATTTTCGGCTCTTCGGCCCTTCTGAGGACTGTTCTTGGAGGCCTCTTGGGCCGTCTTGGAGGCCTCTTGGCTCGTCTTGGGGCCATCTTGGGCGTCTTGGAGCGCTCGTTTGGCGTCTCAGGGCCCTCGTGGGCCGTCTGGGAGACGTCTTGGGGCCTTCTTGGCCCGTCTTGAGCCCCATCTGGGCCCAAAAGAGGCCCGTGAGTCGCTCGGCGTCTGCCCGGGGGGGGGGGGGGGTCGAAATCGCCGGTTTGGGGTCCCATGGGGGAGGACCACGGGGGGGGAACTATCTCACACGCCTAGAGACCCACAAGGGGTCGGCGGAGTTCGCCGGATCTGGTCGACATCTGGGAGAAATCTGGATGACATCTGGACGAAAGGGTGAAGAGGTTTTGCCGAACTCTGGGCGCGAAATCCTGTCGAAGTCACGTTGATGATGGTAGGGCCGCGGAGGTCCACAGGAGGCTCCCGTGAGGGCCCACCGAACGGGGACGGGCCAGGGGCTGACGGGGAGCCTGTCGTTGCGTCTCTGCAGCAGTGCAGTCACGTGGGTTCGTTTGGGGACGGCTGCTCTTCCTCCCCCCTTGCTCTCTGCTCCTCCCAAGCCTCCCTCCCTCCCTCGTCTCTCGTCCTCTCTCTCCTCCTCCCACCTCCTCCTCCTCCTCCTCCTCCTCCACCTCCACCTCCTCTCCTCCTCCTCCTCCTCCTCCTCCTCCTCCTCCTCCCTCCTCCTCCTCCTCCTGCTCCTCCTCCTCCTCCTCCTCCTCCTCCTCCTCCCACCTCCTCCTCCTCCTCTTCGGGGGGCTTGTCCGTCCCCACGCGTCCGCGCGACGCGCTATCCGAATCCCAGCCCCCAGGCCTCAACGCCTCAACGTCCCGAGCCTCTCCGAGCCTCCCGCCCCGCGGAGCGGCGGGACGCGCCATCCGCCTGCAGGGCACGGCGTCGCCAGGGCCGCCGCCTCGACGCGCTGAGGGGAGAAGGTCCCGACCGCTTTAGAGCCGGGAGGGGGCGAATCGAACCCCACTCGGCGAGGGGGGTGGGGGGGGGCGCCCGCAGATCTCTTCCTCCCCCTTCCTCCTCCTCCTCCTCCTCCTCCTCCTCCTCCTCCTCCTCCTCCTCCTCCTTCTCCAGCGGCGGGGAGGCCCACGGGAGGCATGGCCGGGGAGCCCCGAGGTGCTCCTCTCGTACCGTGGAGGAAAAGCAAGGGAATGCGTCGACGGCTCGCCGGTTGTGTGCCGCACAGGGGCCTCCCAAGCAAGAGGGCCCCGAGGTGCCAGGCTCATGGGTTTGAGCCCAGACATGATGGCGTCGTAAAAAATCAGGACAGGAGGTTCTTCGCTGTTTTCGGGTTTTCGGCCCCTGAGGGCCCTCGCCGGGCCTCGGGACCGTCAAAAAACGACTCAAGATGAAAAACCGGCCCCAGGGAAAGGGTCTGGTCTTCCAGGGACGCCGTCCTGAAAAAATCAGGACGTCGCATGTTTGGGAGTGATCTCGCCTCGACTGGCTCTCGACGCTCCAAGCGGGCCGAAAGGCCCCCAAGACCGCCCCAAGACCTCCATCCGATCCGGCGATCATTTTGGCCTCTGGGGCCCGATGCAAGGCCCTTGGATCGGGGACGAACAGCTACCCCTCGAGTCGTGGATCGACTACATAATCGGTTTGCTCCAAACTTGATGTTCTCGACGAATGTGCGAAAAAACGTAGGATGCTCGCAGATAATTCCGCTTGTCGTCGATTCGACCCTGGGGGCAATTTTCGGGGCCTGCGGGGCCGCGCACGGAACAACGTCAGACCGTCGGATGTCTGAGACTCTGGGCCCCAGGGCCGTCAAAAGGCGACTCGGGACGCAGGGCCTGTCCCCGCCTTCGTGAAAATACGCTGCAACATCGCGGAACATCACGACCTACGTTGCTGGCGCCCTTCCTCCCGCGGCATTTCTCGAGCGGGATCCCCGAGGGTCCTGGGGCCCGCGGCCGGGCAAAGGCGCCCAGACCTCGCAGGCCCCGGCTCGAGGGACGAGCCGGGCGCACCGCGCGACGGCCGGAGGTCCGGGGCCCCAGACATCTCGGCCAGCGGGCGCGCAGCCGGGTTCGAAGACTGCACGGCGGCGACGGCCCTGGGAGTCCCTGAAGGCCCCCAGGGATGCCTCCAGAGGTCTCGGGTCTGTGGATGCCTCTGGAGGCTTTCCGAGGCCCCTCACGGGCGTCACCGAGAGGACCCCGACTCCCAGGAGACAGCACAGGAGAGCGAGACGACGAGGACGCCGACGGCGACGGCGCCGCCGACGCCGCCGACGACGCTGCGGTCGACCACGACGTCGCTCGCCGCTGCTGACCAGCCGCGGCGCTCGCAGTTGTCGAGGGCGCGCGAGGCGGCGCGACGGGAGCGAGGGGTCTCGCCAGCCGCCGCCCGCGATGGCGCAGCAGGACTGGCGGGCGGGCGCCCGAGCCAGCCGGGGCGGACGATGGGGGCCGGGCGATGTGCAGTCGAGACGCCGAGAGAAGGAGCGATCTGGGCTCAGAGGACCGCTCGAGTCATGAAACAGTCACGACGGGAGGTTTTCCGCTGCTCTCGGCTTCTGGGGGCCCTGGCTGGGCCTCGGGACCGTCAACAAAACGACTGCTCGGGATGAGAGACCGCTCCCAGGGGAGGGGTCCAGACATCTGGGCCCGGGGTCGAGGTTCTGGGCTCGGAGCGGCTTCTGGTCTTTGCCGGCCCCGGGGGCCGTCCTCGGGCTCTGGGCTCGTCAGGAACGGATCCAAGGTAGAACATCGATCCCGGGAGGGGCCCAGGCCCCCCGGGCCGCCTCCGAGGCTCTGGTGCTCGGGCCGTGCCTCTCGGGCCCAGGGTCGGGGAGCCGGTTTCGGGGGTCTGGGGCTGGCCGTGGCTGGAGGAGGCGCTCGGCTCCCTGCGCCGCCGTCCGTGCTGGTTGCGCGACGGTTGCGCCCGCAGGTCCGACGACGCGAAGAAAGGCAACGCGTGAAACATCACGGCTGGAGCTCCGGACCCTACATGTGTTTCATGTTTCGGGGCTGGGCGGCATGAAAGTAAAACGACGGCTTCGCCGACGCGCTGTCCCCTTTCTCGGAGGTGAAGTCCAGGAGTGCACGCGTTACTTGGGGTTTCATATTCCCTTGTCTGGCATAGTAGGCCCTGAAGTTGCTCGTCGCATGGTGGCGGCGTCGTCGGGCTTCTATTCCATGGGTGGGTTCTGGTCTCCCAAGTGTCTTTGGAAGTGGACTCGGGTCATTCTGATCGGTCGCGTCCAGGACGCTTTGCTGAGCGGCTCGGGGCCGGCAACGGCAGATTGCGCGTTTCCGTGGCAGTCACTGGCAGTTCCTGCGCGCGCTGTCTGGCTGTTTGCCAGCCGCGGAGCTCGACGGGTGCAGTCCCGCGCTACGGGATCGTCTGACAAAGCATGCGCCCCTGGGCTCGCCGCATCCAGGAGGAGCTCCAGGAGGCTTGGAAGAGACTTGGGGAAGAGGCCCTCGTCGTGGAAGCGCCCCCAGGGGCCCCCCCGTGGGTTCGCGGGCCCCGAGACGGCGCTCGACTTCATCAGCGTTGATCTCGCAGTTTTTCAGATCGGCTCAGGTCTGTGTCCGCGCGCCCCGCCCTGAGCACGGACCTCCGCAGGCAGTTCTGGCCCCTCCTGCCCCAGAGCCCCCTCGAGAATGGCCGCGTGGATCGGGGGTCCGGGGGGGGGGGAGAGGTGCGGGGCGGTATTTCGTGCGAAACGTGACCTGCTTAAGCATCTTCGAGCAACGCATCGTGTCCGAAATGCTGGCCATGCGTTGTCTCCCACAAACCAATGCGTGGTCTGTCGCATTATGTCCGGTTCAAGATCGATTGGTTGCTGGCCGCCACCTCGCTCGATTTCTGATTCGGCGATGTTGTCTCCCTGATGGGGGTCGAACGTTTCGCAGGCTAGTGCCGCCCGAGAGTCTGGCGTGCCGACTGCGTGGCGTTGAGAGCGCGGGCTTGAACCGCCTCAGTAGCCGTCTGGTTCAGCACCTGCCAAGATCGGCGCTGCCATGTCGCCCCCTTCCCCCCTCCCCCCCCTCCTCGGTCAGCGCGGCGACGACGGCAGCGTGGCCATGGAGGGGCAGCTTGCCTGGCTGACGGTGAAGGAGATGGGGCGCCTCGCGTTGGCGGATTCCCGAGGGATCCAGGACCTGGCCGCAGTCTTGTTCAAAAAGTACGGGGCCACTAAGGGCGGCTCGTCGGAGCCCCAGGAGGCAGCGGGCGAGGCGCGCCACGCGCAGTCAAAGGTGCCGCGGGAAAAAGTGCAATCAGTTGCGCGGGCGGGCTTCGAAAGCAGAGACGCGGCGATCTTCGCGGCGACGGTGGAGTGACGGGCCGCAGAAGGTCACCTGAGCAACAAACAGATGGTGCTAGGCTTCGCGAGCATGTGGAAGGATGCGGTCACGACCCTCTCCCCTCAGCAGCTGGCGGCCCTCGCCCTTCTCTTCCGATGGAAAGCGCGCGGAAGCCCGACAATGGCATGGGCAAGGGCGCGGACGATCAGCAGACGAAGACGGGACAGACAATGGTCTCATCATGCACGCGGTGGAGGTATCCCACATGCGTGGGGCCAAGTTGGCGGCCCTTCTCTGCGAGGCGATGAAAGACGTGAAGGCGGTATGCCAGGCGGGTCGAGCTCCTCCAGGATCGCTCAATCGACAGCTTTAGAATCTGATCAACGAGATGTGAACTACAGAGGTCCTGGCCGGACGAGCCTTGAATTGAGGTGTTTGGTTGATGATGAGGCTGAGGCTGCGCCTGCAGTTCGGAATTTGTCGATGAGGTCGGTCAGTTTCGACTGGCCTTAGAGCGAGAGGATTCGTGCTTTGCAGGTTGCTGGCCGCCTCCTGCCGAGTTGACTTCTGTTCCCACGATTTCCCTCCCTCGGCAGGCGCCTCGTGGGCGCGGTCGGGGCTCCCGTGGGAGAGGTCGGCCCCAGCCTTTTCGGAGGGGCCCATCAGGGCCAAGTGCCCGTGGCGAAGGGCCCGCCTCTGCATGTGGCGGTGCGTCAGGGGACTGTTCCTGATTGGGGGCCCCCTCTCTGCTCGGGTGCACGAAAGGCGGTGTCTGGCCTTCGGGCTCCGTCGTGCGAGCGGTTTGGTGAAAGGGTGGGCCCCCAGACAGGGTCTACCCCCGCGACGTGCGCACGGCTCCCCACGCTTTGACTGGCGTCCGGAACGGTTTCGCCCCTCAGGATCTAAACAATGCAGAAGTTTCTCATCAGTTCGAGGCCAAGTTGACGAGGGATCCCACGAGCATGTCTGTCTGTCTGTCTCCTCCTCCTCCTCCTCCTCCTCCTCTTTGTCCTCCTCCGCCTCCCCCTCCCCCTCCTCCCCCCCCCCCCCCCGCCAGGGCGCGGAACTGGCGCGGTCGCCGTCCGCGGGCTCCGTGGCCAGCGCGGCGCCCGAGGGCGCGGCGGCGCACGGCGTGGGCGACGAGGCCTCGAGGAGGAAAAGGAGGAGGAGGAGGAGGAGGAGGAGGAGGAGGAGGAGGAGGAGGAGCAGAAGGAGGAGGAGGAGGAGGAGGGAGGAGAGGAGGGTGAGGGGGAGGAGGAGGAGGAGGAGGAGGAGGAGGAGGAGGAGGAGGAGGAGGAGGAGGAGGAGGAGGAGGAGGAGGAGGGCAGGAGGAGGAGGAGGAGGAGGAGGAGGAGGAGGAGGAGGAGGAGAGGAGGAGGAGGAGGACGGGGAGGGGGAGGAGGAGGAGGAGGAGGAGGAGGAGGAGGAGGAGGAGGAGGAGGAGGCGGAGGATGAGGAGGAGGAGGGTCGCACACACAACGCAATGCATGGCAACGTAGCACAGTGCAGCGCTTTAAGGGCCAGTCGATGATGCTGATGATTCCGGTGGTGGGCGCAACCACTTTTGCTCGAGGCCGGGTGGCGCCTAGCGCAGGCCACGCGGGAAGGCGTGAAACTTGGGGCCCAAAATTTGGTTTACAGATGGCATCGGGAAGTGCACAACACACGATGTTGCCGGGATGGTTTCCAGGAACATTGGGAACGGGTCTCTCCGACAATGTTCCCGGAGAGGCTTCTGGGAACATGGAAATGGGCCAGGTGGGGTTCAGTGAGGAGAGGGATAAGAGATGTTGGCACAGCGCCAAACATGGATGCACACACCAACACAAGAGAATGCCAAGCAAATCAACACTACGGAACGCAAGTGAATACAAAGCGAAGCGCCTTCAACTTAAATCAAGCCACTGCAAAGCAACGCACCTAGGCACCGCTCATCGGAACTTGCCCCGCAGTCCGCCATCCATGGGCACCTGCCTCACGGCGCAAGGGGTTACCTCACGAAGTGAAGCGGCGATCAATTGTAGCAGATCATGCGGACAGCTCATTCTCTGATTGTGCAGGAGGGGCCAGACTTTGGGAGCTCTGGTCGGTCTACTCTGTTCGGTGGCTTTCTGTAGCTGTCATGCGGCCAGAACGAATATACGAAACCGCTTTAGAGAGTAATCGAATTGGGAGTGAGTTGTGTAGGCAGGCCCATCCAGATACGACGCGACACGGGGCCGACAGACCGAGAGGGAGGAGGTTTCTGCAGGCATCGTGGGCGAGACCTCTGTAGTGACATCTGCCCCCGAATTTCTCAGGCGCACGCTGGGGTCGACGCACGAACAACGTCGTGGGGTCTCCCGGGGGGCCAGGGGCCTGGAATGACTCCGTGCCTCCCGATTGGGGTCTGAGCAGATGACATCGGATGATCGCGCCGCATTGCCAATGCATCGGCGATGCGGCTCGACGTGGAGCCAGATTTTCTCCACGCCGACGGCGCCGATGCATCGCCGATGCATTGGCGATGCGTTCTCGATGCGGCGCGTTCCTCCGGCTCCATCTTCTCGGATCCCATTTGGGATGCCTCCAGACTCGGTGCTGGGGACGGGGTGGGGGGCCCAGGCCCAGCTGTGGGCCGGCCTGCACAGCAGGGTCGGCTGCGCTCGAAAAGCAATCGCCCGCGCCGGTACGTACTAGGTCGGCGTCAGAGGCATTTCGGGGTTGCCAAAGGTGCCCCTCCCTGGCCCAAGGTGCCCCCCAGCTTCTCTCTCAGTTCTGGAGCCCCTGGGCTAGCTCCCCGGGGCCTCGCGGCGGGTGCTCTCGGGGCCTCCCTGGAACTCCTGGGGGTCACCCTGGGCCAGGGGCACCTCTGGCAGAGCCCGAGGCGCTCGAGCCTGGGGCAGCCCCTCCGTCGCATCCGCGCTCCCTCGGCAGGCGAGGGGAATTCCGCGCCAGCGCGGCGCAGCCTCCTCTCTCTTGCGGCATGTTCGCGCCGCGTCCGCGCGCCAGCGGCCCTGGCAGTAAGTCGGGCCTGTCCCTCTACAGGAGGAGGATTTAAAACTGGTCAAAAAACAGTCTGGGGACGATTTCTCCAGTTGTTTTTCATTATTTAGAGTACTGTTCTACTATGCTTTTTCGCACAAGATCCAGATCCCCCTGTAGGGGGACACGCCCGACCTAACCCTGGCACTCGCACTCCTCGGCGGCGAGCCCGGGGGGGAGTCAGGCCCAGACTTCCGACGTACAGTCAGCCCGCAGAGTAAGGACGAGCAGCTTTCCAAGGTTGCGCTTGCACCCTTCCCCTTCGGCCCCATCCTTGGCCGCTCTCGCTGGCCGCGCCCCGCTCGCGAAGTGTCGACACGGCCTCGTAAGGCCCTTGCATCCTTCTCGCTCGTCTTCATGATACGGGTAGACTGTAGCGAGAGATGCAATACGGAGGTTTTTCTGCAGTTTACGGTCTCTGGGGGCCCTCGCCCAGCCCTGGGACCGTCAAACATCGACTCAGGATAGAAGACTGGTCCTGGGGAACGGGTTGAGACCTCCGGGAGCCTGTGTGGAAAAAACAATATTCTGATCTCCGGGGGGGGGGGCTGGCCTTCTCAGAAGGCTCGGAAGGCCGTAGGCATTCTCAGAAGTTTTTTCAGCCCTCTCCGAAATCAGAGGCTTCGCAGAATGCAGGAGGGCTGCCGAGAAGCCCCGCCGCCTTCTGAGAAGGCCTGCCCCCTCTCACTTCTCCCCCGGGCTCTCCGCCAAGTTCAAGGTTGAGCGCAGCTGGTGACGCGGAATCGGCCAACATCCAACTATGAGCGCAATCAGAAAGCGCGGTGTGAGAAACCAGCGCCGACGTCGTCAAGGCACGGACTTGCCACGCTGTCGCCTCCTCCTCCTCCTCCTCCTCCTTCCAGAGCCCATTTCAATCCGATCGATCCGATTCGATGCCGATTTGAGCACGCTCGATCTGATTCGATTCAGATCTTGTGACGATCCTATGTGGATGGCGCTGTTGTGCATCCTGGCGCAGCCGATCCGATCGGGTTTCGACTCCGTCCCCATGCAGGCTGATCTGGCGCACATTCCGACTCGATCCGATTTCCCGATTCGATGCTGACTAATCTCGCTATTCTCCCTCTCTCTCTCTTCCTTCCCTCTTTCCAGTTGCCTTTCCGCTTCCCCTTCGCCCCGTTCTCACCCCGCGCCTCCCTCCATCATCAGACCTCCGATGTCTTGATTTGTTCAACATGATCTGCTCAGTACGCGGCCTCCCAAGGGCCCCGAGGAATCAGCTTTTCGTCCACCATCGTTTTCTGAGGGTCTCGGGGCCCAGGTCACGGGCTCTTGAGGAGGCCCAGGCAAAAGAACAATTGGCCGTCGTGATTTTGTCGTGTCTCCGGAGGTCTGGGTCCGTGGCCTGAAGTACCAGTCTGAAACACATCCCTGTCCCCGTGTTTGGCATCGCCTCACCTCGATGGCGATCTTGAGATCCCCTCGGTTTCTGAGCGCACATCTCCAATATTGTCCTCGCTTTTTGCTCGCCCATCTTTGAGATACACGTCGTCCATTTCTAATCGTGCTCATTTTGTGTTCGTTTCTAGTGGTTCCTGGCCCCCGATTGGCCAGGAAGAGGCCCAGGATAGAACAATCAGGAATGAAAGGATCTTGGCCCGTCAAAAAAACAAATAACCCTCGAATACTTACAAACGAACAATGTGTAGGTCTATGTTCGAGGCTCCTGAGATAGTGCATGTGCCACGCGTGTATATGCACCACTCGCTGCCGTTTGACCTCTAGGGGGCCCTTTTTGCCATTGCGTTAAAACGCATCATAATCACACTAGTAGCGGAACTACCACACGATCCCCGTATCGTACCACTGCGCGTACGTCTCAACGTCTCATCAGAGAGTGTCGTACTATTTCTTGTTATGTTCTGCACTGGCAGTTTCCCTCGCTAGGGGACTGAACCTTGCGCCATGACACTTTCTTCTCTTCGCTATCGGCCGAGCGCCGACGCGCTGACGCGGTCCGAGACGAAGAGTGACTCCTACATCTACGACGGGACGGTGAACAACTTACACGAGTTGGAACTCCGCGCAAAGATGCGCATGAGTTCCGCCTTGGCCTCAGTGGATCAAGATACGGGTGCACCACAGCAACACGTGATCACCGCAGCTGTCAACAAGGTTGTAAAGGGGCCTCGGAGGTGACGCGCTCGATATTGCTATGGCTATCGCTAAGGACGTGCTTCTGACCCCCGATGGGATCGATCAGCTGGCGCTGGCGATTCGTATTTCACTCTTCCCCATCGAGGCGCAGGAAGCGAGGATCCTGTTCCAAGTGGGGCAGAGACCATATGGACAACTGTCTCGGCAGCACGGTGAGTCCATGGTCTTGTACATCTCCCGAAGGAACAGCTGGTGGAAACTTGTCGTCAAGCTAGATTCTACGATCTTCATGAGCGACGACATGCTTGGTTCCCTTCTCTTGGACCATGTAGACCTCTCGCCATCGGAGAACCTGATGGTGTTGACACCCGCAGGAAATTTGACAACCTTCGACGAGGTCAAAGACGTCTTGATCCTCCAGCACGGCCGCGTACACATCCGCCAAGAAAGGGCGAGTCTGGTAAAGGCCCCAGCTCTTCGACGTGGACGCAGCCCATACCCAGCTACCAGAACAGGAGCAAAGGCACGGGCAAGGCGCGCTTCTCCAGACCACAACACGCCTTTTACACTGCTGATGATGGATGGTGCGAGCAGGAGGAGCATTGCCCTGGGGAGCTGAGCCCCTATGGGCACTACGCGTCCGGCTATGCGCCAGAGCACGACTGGGGCGATACGGCCTGGGACGACTACGCCGACGAACGCACCTGCGTCGACGAGAAATCGCATGTTCACTGGGCTCCTGTCCAGGATAGCAGCGAGCTCGGCGTCGAGGTGGTCGACGAGATGGTCAAGGCCGGATAGGCGGGGGAAGAAGCTTTTGACGCGATCCAAGAGGTCCTGGTCGCCAACCTTGGCACCGAAGGGAGGGGCAAGGGCGAAGGGAAGAGCTGAGGAAAGGGTTGCCACGGCGCGCCCTGGCCGCCAAAGGGAGGTGGCAAGGCAGGACCTTCCTTGGAATATCGCAAGAAACGGCTCCAGGATATCAAGGAGCGCTCGAAATTC